TAATTTTTTCTAAACGTTGTATTCTGAGCACCTCTGCAAAAACAGTGATTGTGTGAGTGAGGTGAAAGTGTTGGGGATTTTCTTTCTTTTTGGGTCACCCTACTTCGGTGGGAGACGGCCGACTTGTTAAAAAAAAAAGTTTACTGAGTATACCACGTAAGATGTATGGTAGGGTTATTATTGAAAGAATTAGAAGTAAAACAGAGCAGGAGTGTAGATGAACAAGGAGGCTTTAGAATGGGTAGGGGATGCATAGATCAAGTGTTTACATTGAAGCATATATGTGAATAGTATTTAGATAAAGGTAAGGAAGTTTATATTGCATTTATGGATTTAGAAAAGGCATATGATAGAATGGATAGGGGAGCAGTGTGGCAGATGTTGCAAATGTATGGAATAGGAAGTAAGTTACTAAATGCTGTAAAGAGTTTTTATGAGGATAGTGAGGCTCAGGTTAGGGTGTGTAGGAGAGAGAGAGGGAGATTACTTCCCGTTAAAAGTAGGTCTTAGACAGGGATGTGTAATGTCACCATGGTTGTTTAACATATTTATAGATGGGGTTGTAAAAGAAATAAGTGCTAGGGTGTTGGGGAGAGGTGCAGGATTAAATTATGGGGCATCAAATACAAAATGGGAGTTCACACAGTTACTTTTTGCTGATGTTATTATGCTTTGAGGAGATTCTAAAGAAAAGTTGCAAAGGTTAGTGGACAAGTTTGGGAGGTGGTGTAAAAATAGAAAGTTGAAAGAGAACATAGATAAGAGTAAGGTGATGAGGGTATTAAACAATTTAGATCAAGAAAAATTGGATATCACAATGGAAGGAGGGAGTATGGAAGATGTGAATGTTTTCAGATATTTGGAAGTTGACTTGTCAGCAGATGGGTTTATGAAGGAAGAAAGGTGAGTGGTGTGTTGAGGTATCTGTGTAGACAAAAAGCGTTATTTATGCAGGCAAAGAAGGGAATGTACGAGAGTATAGTGGTACAACACTTATATGAGTGCGAAGCATGGGTTGTAAATGCTGCAGCGAGGAGGAGGCTGAAGGCAGTGGAGATGTCGTGTCTAAGGGCAACGTGTGGTGTAAATATTATGCAGAGAATTCGTGGTGTGGAAATTAGTAGGAGGTGTGGAGTTACTAAAAGTATTAGTCAGAGGGCTGAAGAGAGGTTGTTGAGGTGGTTTGGTCATTTAGAGAGAATGGAACAAACTAGAATGACTTAGAAAGCATATAAATTTGTAGGAGAAGGAAGGCAGGGTAGGAGTCGTCCTCAAAAAGGTTGGAGGGAGTGGGTAAAGGAAGTTTTGTGGGCGAGGGGCTCGGACTTTCAGCAAGCGTTCATGAGCGGGTTAGATAGGAATGCATGGAGGCAAATGGTTTTTGGGACCTGGCGAGCTGTTGGAGTGTGAGTAGGGTAATATTTTGTGAAGGAATTCAGGGAAACTGGTTAGCCGGACTTGAGTCCTGGAAGTGGTAAGTACAATGCTGCACTTTAAAGGAGGGGTTTTGGATATTGGCAGTTTGGAAGGACATCTAAGCTGTAGTATCTGAATGCCTCTGCAAAGACAATGATTATGTATGAGTGATTGTGAAAATGTTAAATGATGTTCTTTTTTTTTTTTTTTTTTTTTTTTTTTTTTTTTTTTTTTTTTTTTTTTTTTTTTTTTTTTTTTTTTTTTGTCACCCTACCTTGGTGGGAGATGGCCGACATGTTGAAAAAAATATATAAGAAACAGTGTTCTTAATTGAACTTACTTTTTAAACAAATTATTACAGTGGGGTACTGTGTATACATTATGATTTTTTTCTTTATTTGTAGACAGTTTCAAATTGCAAGAGAAAGGCATACAAGGAGTTGGCTCAGAGGATTGAGAGAGGAAACAAGTTACGGATTATGAAAGAGAAACTGGAAGTGCGGAAGAAACTGATGGCAAGTATTGTACCCTTCTGTATCAACAAGTACCAGCTAGTATATAAATAACACATAGGGCATTTCACTATACCATAGTCTTTATCATGTCTGTAGACAAAAACAAATACTTGGATAAAAGCTACATGAACACTGATCAGTGAAGAGCAAGAAACCACTTGGGTTGAAAAATAAAATGCAGATAAGAGAGCAAATGAGAGAGTGGGTGAGATGTTATCAACAAATTTTGTTGAAAATAAGAAAAAGTTTTGGAGTGAGATTAACAAGTTAAGAAAGCCTAGAGAACAAATGGATTTGTCAGTTAAAAATAGGAGAGGAGAGTTATTAAATGGAGAGTTAGAGGTATTGGGAAGATGGAAGGAATATTTTGAGGAATTGTTAAATGTTGATGAAGATAGGGAAGCTGTGATTTCGTGTATAGGGCAAGGAGGAATAACATCTTGTAGGAGTGAGGAAGAGCCAGTTGTGAGTGTGGGGGAAGTTCGTGAGGCAGTAGGCAAAATGAAAGGGGGTAAGGCAGCCGGGATTGATGGGATTAAAGATAGAAATGTTAAAAGCAGGTGGGGATATAGTTTTGGAGTGGTTGGTGCAATTATTTAATAAATGTATGGAAGAGGGTAAGGTACCTAGGGATTGGCAGAGAGCATGCATAGTTCCTTTGTATAAAGGCAAAGGGGATAAAAGAGAGTGCAAAAATTATAGGGGGATAAGTCTGTTGAGTGTACCTGGTAAAGTGTATGGTAGAGTTATAATTGAAAGAATTAAGAGTAAGACGGAGAATAGGATAGCAGATGAACAAGGAGGCTTTAGGAAAGGTAGGGGGTGTGTGGACCAGGTGTTTACAGTGAAACATATAAGTGAACAGTATTTAGATAAGGCTAAAGAGGTCTTTGTGGCATTTATGGATTTGGAAAAGGCATATGACAGGGTGGATAGGGGGGCAATGTGGCAGATGTTGCAAGTGTATGGTGTAGGAGGTAGGTTACTGAAAGCAGTGAAGAGTTTTTACGAGGATAGTGAGGCTCAAGTTAGAGTATGTAGGAAAGAAGGGAAATTTTTTCCCAGTAAAGGTAGGCCTAGACAAGGATGTGTGATGTCACCGTGGTTGTTTAATATATTTATAGATGGGGTTGTAAGAGAAGTAAATGCGAGGGTCTTGGCAAGGGGCGTGGAGTTTAAAAAAACAAAGAATCACAACAAAGTGGGAGTTGTCAACAGCTGCTCTTTGCTGATGACACTGTGCCTTGGGAGATTCTGAAGAGAAGTTGCAGAGATTGGTGGATGAATTTGGTAGGGGGTGCAAAAGAAGAAAATTAAAAGGGGAATACAGGAAAGAGTAAGGTTATGAGGATAACAAAAAGATTAGGTGATGAAAGATTGAATATCAGATTGGAGGGAGAGAGTATGGAGGAGGTGAATGTATTCAGATATTTGGGGAGTGGACGTGTCAGCGGATGGGTTTTATGAAAGATAGGTGAATCATAGAATTGATGAGGGAAAAAGAGTGAGTGGTGCACTTAGGAGTCTGTGGAGACAAAGAACTTTGTCCTTGGAGGCAAAGAGGGGAATGTATGAGAGTATAGTTTTTTTCCAACGCTCTTATATGGGTGTGAAGCGTGGGTGATGAATGTTGCAGCGGGGAGAAGGCTGGAGGCAGTGGAGAGTCATGTCTGAGGGCAATGTGTGGTGTGAATATAATGCAGAGAATTCGTAGTTTGGAAGTTAGGAGGAGGTGCGGGATTACCAAAAAATGTTGTCCAGAGGGCCCGAGGAAGGGTTGTTGAGGTGGTTCGGGACATGTAGAGAGAATGGAGCGAAACAGAATGACTTCAAGAGTGTATCAGTCTGTAGTGGAAAGGAAGGGGGGGGTAGGGGTCGGCCTAGGAAGGGTTGGAGGGAGGGGGTAAAGGAGGTTTTGTGTGCGAGGGGCTTGGACTTCCAGCAGGGATGCGTGAGCGTGTTTGATAGGAGTGAATGGAGACAAATGGTTTTTAATACTTGACGTGCTGTTGGAGTGTGAGCAAAGTAACATTTATGAAGGGATTCAGGGAAACCGGCAGGCCGGACTTGAGTCCTGGAGATGGGAAGTACAGTGCCTGCACTCTGAAGGAGGGGTGTTAATGTTGCAGTTTAAAAACTGTAGTGTAAAGCACCCTTCTGGCAAGACAGTGATGGAGTGAATGATGGTGAAAGTTTTTCTTTTTCGGGCCACCCTGCCTTGGTGGGAATCGGCCGGTGTGATAATAAAAAATAAAAAAAAATAAGAGAGAGATCTGTATATTTTGTCTTTAGTCAGGGACCTTCTTCAGCATAGAATATTTGCTAAAGAGACTCTAACAGGACAAAATATACAGATTTTTTTTTTTCCCATGTTTTATTTTTTGGGTCCAAGTGGTTTCTTATCTCTGTATGTACTGGGTAACAAAAGCAGGGAGGAGGATTGTAGTATCTTGTGAGTGATAGGTCCATGTGTGGTTAACTCCCATGTACAGGCATTGTTAAATTTTCTTAATACACAAGCAAGGTTAGAGGTAGTGCAACCTGGAGAAATCTTTTGTTATGCTGTTTGGCCTTACACCTTTGAATGGCTGTTGCTTCTAAAAATCCCTAGTGGTGCTTGGATAGTCTGCCTTAAATTTGCTGTTACAGGTCATTACCAATACAGTACTGGCATATGAAAATTTGTCTTGCTTTGTGGCTTTCAAGACACAGTGCTGATTTTGAATTACCTGGACTGTTACTCCTATGAGCATGTTAAGAGAGAGTGGAAGCCTCTGGGGAAGTTTTCACCTGACCTGACTTCCTATGTTTAGCAGTGCTTGCACAAATATAGCAGTCCTTGTCAATGTAGCTGAAGTTGTCTATCGTTCTTCATTCCATATTCATGCTCATACAGGAATCTTCAATGGGGTTCCCTGAAGACGGCTTCAGGGGTCACTGCCCATGTGACCCAGTCCCAGGCCAGGTGGTGTTTTTTTTTTTTTTTTTTTATCTCAGTAGCCATCAACCAAGACAAGGTGACCCAAAGAAGAAAACATGTTCATCATCTTTCATTCAATCACAGTTTTGCCAGGGGTGTGGTGACATTACAATTCAGAGTACCCGCCAACTGAACATGCCCACCCTCCTTCAGAGTGTAGGTATTGCCCTTCCCACTTCCAGGGCTCAAGTCTGGCTAATCAGTTTTCCCTGAATTCCTTCATTCAAGTTACTTTGCTCTCACTCTAACACATCTACTGGATGCTCAAGCCCCTAAAACACCAGATTTCTTCCTCCTCATCATCTTATCCTTCTTCATCCTCACTACATATCCACTTATTTCGTTGGTGACCCCCACATCACGTTGTAATTTCTGTTATTATTCTTTTTTTTTATTCACATGTCAGCCATCTCCCACCAAAGCAGAGTTATGTTTTATGTTTAAGCCTCTAGTACTCAAACCTCCTTTACCCCTTCTCTTCAAGTTTCTTGGGACATTTGGACCCCTACCTCTCCATTCTTTCTTCCCAGATTTATATACCATTTCAGTCATCTTATTCTGCTCCATCCTTTCCAAATGCCCAAACCACCTCAACAACCCCTCCTCAGTTTTCTGAATTATACGCCTGGTAATTGCCCATTGGTTATGCCAAATTGTTGGCATAATATTCAGATAATATTCAATGTTTCAAGCTCAGCCTTCACACTCATATACTGTACCAGTATTGGCACATGCCCTATTTTTCCTCCATGGATAAAAGTTGTCTCCACATGTGTATCAGTGCACACTCGTCTTTTTTCCCTTCATCTGCTCTGTGATTCTCTTCACCTTTCATTGACCCATCTTTTGACAAGTTCACTCCCAAATACCTGAATACATTTCTAGTATTTCCTCCATACCCTCTCCAGTCTAATATCCAATTTTCATTGCCTAGGTTTTTTTTGTTATGCATTATCTTGCTCTTTCCTATATTTACTTTTAATTTCCTTTTTTAAGGGGGCAGGCGGGCAATTTTCCGCGCGCGCTCACCGAAAAATCGAAAAAATATGGAAATTGAGTTATATATACTGAAAAATAGCTCAACTCTTTGGCAACACAATGGTACCAGAATGAATGTTCTACGACGTTTCTACAAGAAATTATAGTCATTTATATCAGGTATGGTGACGGCGATGTTGGTACCGAGTCTGCTCACGGCCTATATATTTTTTGGAGTTATTTTCTTGTTTTTTATCGCCTTTTCTTGCATTATTCTTTCTAATATAATAACTGACTATTTGGCATCATAAAACAGTAGGTGGAGCTTATCGGCAGACTTAGTGACTACCGGGAACCAGACGGGAACGCTCAGCAGTGTTCCTGCTCCCGAGGTGCCAGCCAGGAATCACCCATTATTTCGCTTATATCAGCTTATATATCAACTCTACGGCTTATTTGTCTATCAGAATTGATCTAATATGATATAATAAACACTCTAAATAACATACAAACATGTTATATACTCTAGACTGAATAAAATAGGCCATAATATGGCCCAGAGATTATCGGGAATATTTCGATATAAAAGTGTAACTGGTCACCCTGTCGTCTCTGAGTAAGAGAAAACGGTGTTTAGAGGCTAACTGCACTAGAACATCAGTTTACTAAGAAATACACCCAAACAAACGCGATTTTCGCGAAAAAAATTTTTTTTTTTTTTTGAGACGGGGGCCGGCCGGCGTTCCCGGCCGATATCTCGGAAGTAACTTATTCACCTATAATTTGATGTGGGTCCTTTATTACTTAATTAAATGGAATAATATTCACAGATATTGTAGAATAATGATTTCTCTTATTTTGACCGTAGAATTTTTGGAAATATTCCAAATACTTCGGGAGTTATGTGGGAGTAAAGGGCAGATTTTTTTGCCATATTCCAGATACTAACAAACTTTATTTTTTTGTGAAATAACGATAAGGTATTTAGAGGGAAATCTTACGGTCCGAATTAGTATTAGCATTGTTCTCTCGGCACCAAGTG